ACAAAAGCTTCAAATTCATTCCTTATTAATTTGCCTCCAGTAAACTCTACTAATACTTAGTTTCTGCTTTGTTGGGTCATCTGTTTATTGTTCAGGGATAACATATATACCTTTAAGATGTTTTTTTACATCTGACCACAGTATCTGATTGGATTGTGGTGATTTGAATGAGATTGGCCCTCATAGGCTCATGTATGAATACCTCATCCCCAGTTGGTGGAACTGTGTGGGAAGGATGGATCAGGAGGTATGTACCACTTGGGTGGGATGTGAGGTTTCAAAAGACTGGAACTGATCACAGTATGCTCTTGGCCTCCTAGTGAATCATTATGTGATCTCTCAGCTGTTGCTGGTGCTGTGTCTTTGTTCTGCCATCGTGGACTCTAACCCTCTGAAATCATAAACCTAAACAAACACTTCATTTTATTCATTTGTTCATTCATTTATTTTTGGCTTCTTTGAGACAGAGTTCTCTGTGTAACAGCCCTGACTTTCCTAGAACTCACTTTGTAGACCATGCTGGCCTTGAACTTACAGATCCGCCTATCTGCCTGCTGGAATTAAAGGCATGCTTTTAGCACCACCCAGCTAATGTTTTATTTTGTAAGTTGCCTTGGTTGTGATGTTTTGTCACAGTAATAGAAAAGTAACTAATGTGCCTTTCATCCTTCATTGTACCCAGTGGTCACTGTTGACAGCTGTCACCTAGAACACTTGCGTCTCTTTCCTCCTGTGCTCCATGTTACCCTTTAAAAATACATCATGTTCCATAGCCTCACTTCTTTTCTACAAATTCTCACTTGTTTATACTGTATTCAACACATGGCCGAGAAGCACTTGAAGAAATGTTCAACATCCTTCATCATTAGGGAAATGCAAATGAAAACAACTTTGATATTTTTGTGTACATCAGTCATAATGGCCAACATCAATAAAACAAGCGACAGCTCTTGTTTGTCCAGATGTGGAGAAAGGAGAACACGTCTCCATTGTATGGTGGATCCACAGGAAGCTAGTAGATCTGCCTCAACATCCAGCTATGCAGGTGGAGGCTGCTTGTTCATTCCTGGCCACCCAGACCTGAAATAATCACACAGAAACTGTATTAATTAAAACAGTCTTTGGCCAGTCACTTAGGCGTATTGCTAGCTAGTTCTTATATCTTAAGTTAACCCATAGGACACAGAGGACAGAAATAAAGGACAAGGGGGAAGGGAAGGATGACTCGAGGAAGGGAAAATAAAACAGAACAATGGAGAGTCGGGAGTGGGAGGGCAGACAGGAACAGGAGGATTAAACCTTCCGTTTACAGAGGTGTGCAGATTGGAGCAGCCCTGGCGGGAGGAGAAAACAGGTGACAACAAGCCTTGGGGGTGGACTTGCAGTGGCCCAAGAAGCAACACAGCTCCGGGGCACAGGGGCACAGCTGGGCCTTAAAAGCTAGGGAGCCACCTGGGAGACTGTGGGACAATATTATACAGGCCACATATTTCCGCATTGTTGGTGAAAGACACCCCCCCCCAATTTGGGGAGACTCTCACTCGAGCCTCGGGAAGACGCGAACCCCCCCCCCCAGTAACTCACGAGAGACCTTCCTTGCTGCAATCACACAAGGTTTAATGACAAGACGACAAGATGGGAACCAGTGCTCATAACCCACTCAGGGGAAGAGTTCGACCTCGAGTGATCGGGAGTAGTTTTTATAGGAAGAAATCACACAGCCCAGTAATCCAAAAGGGGGGCAGGGAGGGTGTCACAGAAAATTCCGAAAATTCCAGTGATGATTACAAAGGGGCAACTCCCTGCCTCTCAAGATCATTAATCAGCTAATTCCTATTCCAGTGATAATTACTAGGGGGTGATAATTACTAAGGGGAATCTCTCTGTCTCTCAAGATTACTCTCAAGATTACAATCTACCTTTATCTTCAGCTAGTTCCTGGAACTGGCTAATCCTAGATTTCTGATTCTTCTCTTCCTGCTAGATTTTTGGCTCTATTTTCCTGTTAGGGGGATCTGGATTTATCCAGGTCTTTCATTGGCAGCCAGGCTCTCAAGCCACAGTAGCAACCGAGGTGCTAAAAGCAGTTACAGACTGGCTGTCTCCTGAGCTCAGGAGAGGCTGATGTCGTTCTGCTCCTTCTTTGTAATTATGGGGACTGCCTGGGAAGAGGTGTTGATCCAAGCTATGACAGAGCTGCGGATGTGACTGTAGTCCTGTTACCCCAGAAGCAGGATGCTAATGAACTTCCCCCTCAGTTTACCTTGGGAGGTGAAAGCTGTTTGGGGAATATAGGAGGGCTACCGGCAGGATTTGAATGAACCCTGAGACTGCCTTCCGATATTGCTGTGTGAACTGTGTCTCAATTACTCCCGCGCCTCCACAGCCGGTCCAGAGAGAGAGTTTATGTTGGGTTGGACCAGAACAGGAGACGCCCCGGGACATGAGCATTTCCCTCCATGCCCCCTCTGCAGGCCCTGTCAAGGCATCTTGAGGGTCTCTGCAGGCCTCTTTGGAGGGAGAAGCCTGCACACCTGTGCATAGGGAATTGACTGCTTGCAGTTGAAAAACTGCACGAATGTAAAACAGAGACTCTGAGATCATGGCCAGAGAAACGTTAACAAAAAAAATTATTTTTAGGAATATTGACAGCCACGGGCATTCTCTGTGCCCACCGGTGCTGCCCCCCCTTTTCTTTCCAAAGCCAAATCTTCTTCACTGTGATAACACTCAAGGGCTCTTCTGCTGGCCAGCAGTTTCCCACCTAAACCCTCTTCTGTCCTGATACTGCTTATAAGAAAGGTTAAATATACCAAACTGTTGACTTTAAAATAAAAGTCAAAGATGCATTATGTTTGGGAAAAATATGCTTTTGTTTTCATAGGAAAAAACATATGGGTGTTAGTCATTTAGAGTTATAAATACTTATCACCTTTTTAGGAAATTGGCTACAAATTATTATTGATTAAGATATGTGTGTGTGTGTGTGTGTGTGTATGTGTGTGTGTGTGTGTGTGTGTGTGTGTGTAGTGAGCTGCTTTGTGCCGCACCTTAAAGATGGCGCGGGCCTCTACACTCCACCCCCAGGGTGGAATGTGCTTTCAGCTGTAAATAACTCCATACATGGCTAAAGCTAAGGATCTGGCTTGTTTCTGTGTACCTGGGCCTATCCATATTTCCCACATGGCTTGCTGGAGTTGGCTACCCAGGGGCTATTTTATTTTAGGTGTGGGCTGGCTTTCCCCGGGGTCAGAAGATTATTCAAGGTTTCCTGATTAAATTGCAATTGAGAACCAGTGTTGTGTTTTCTTTGCTGGCCAAAGCTACGCAACATATATATATATATATATATATATGTAGATATTTCTGCCTTTGTTTTAAATGTTATTTCTATAAAATGTCCTTGATTGCTGAAAAAAATTTACAGAAAAAGACTGATGAAAATGTCCATGTTGTCTGAAAAATGGGAGTAAAGACAAAAAAGTTTGTGATGGAGGTTTTATGTTGTCTAGAAAGCAAGAGAAAGCAGAAAACTAAAATAGTAAAGAGAAAAAAAGATAAAAGTAATAAAAGGCATGTAAAAAAGTTTTGTTTTTGTTTTTGTTTTTTGAGACAGGGTTTCTCTGTAGCTTTGGAGCTTATCCTGGAACTAGCTCTTGTAGACCAGGCTGGCCTTGGACTCACAGAGATCCGCCTGCCTCTGCCTCCCAAGGGCTGCGCCACCACCTTAAAAAATTTTTTAAAAAGGTTAGAGGCTATGGTTTCTTGTATCTGCACATACTAAATTAAAAAAAAAAAGAACTGAGTCACAGTTTATATTAGTACTAAAAGAATTTTTAAGTCTAAAACCTGACAAACATGGAGCATAAAGTTCTAGTCTTATAAAGCTGCTCACCTATTGTAGACAATCAGGAAATACAAGTTAATAGTCAGGTATCCTCAAGGCACTGATATAATTAATTACAGGAATAAGCTTTACTTAGTTCCCTGTATACGTTTTTAAAGTCAAGCTTAAAACAAGTAATGAGAAACAAAGTTTGTCTAATCTGATATACCTAGGCAGCCCTCATACTTCAGAGATCTGTGAAATATGGCATTTATGACAACTAAAAAGTTTATATTGTTGGGTCCAGGGGAGTTGCACAATGTAAGATGGGGACAGGGGCTGGAGAGGTGGCTCAGAGGTTAAGAGCACTGGCTGCTCTTCCAGAGGTCCTGAGTTCAATTCCCAGCAACCACATGGTGGTTCACGACCATCTGTAATGGATCTGATGCCCTCTTCTGGCAGAACACTGTATATTTAATAAATAAAATCTAAAAAAAAAAAAAAAGATGGGGACAGACCACCAAAGTCTAATAAACCAGAAGCAAACTTTATTCCAGAAACCAGATTCCAGGAAAGCCAGAAGCAAACTTATATATATATATATAAAGTTTATATATATATATAAAATCACGGAGCACAGAAACTTACCTAAGACCACAGCCAGAGATGGTGTTTGTTAGGCTGTTGCAAAAGGTCAGTTTCTGAAACCATCTTTTTATAGTAGGGGCACCAAGCATTAGGTCTGAACAAAGGAATTTTTACGATCTTGCCCCGACTGGTGGGTTAGTCAACAGAGACCCTAAGGGGGAGTGTGTTCTAATGCCAATGGGTAACTAGGCAGCTATCATGAAATATGTTTCAGAGTTACAGTTAAAGTCACTAATTGCAAGAAAACAGATGTCTTTAGCAATTAGTTAGAAAAAGGGACTGCTACTAATATCAGAAGGTTAATAAATCAGGATAACACTACCTCAAGATAAAACTCAGATACAGATTGCCTTACTTTACAACCTCCATTATTAGAGCTCATTAGTCAAACCCGTGTTTCTACCTTGTCCAGTGTGTCTCTTGGTATCTCCAGGCAGTGTATACTGAAGTCCCATGCCTTCCCTTTGATGGTGCCAGTTTCCCACAGCAGAGACAGTGCCTAACCCAGAGGTCACACATCTCTGTCTCCTAAAGGTTAACTCAGCTCATATCTGTTTATCAAGGATGGCCAGGACACTGTACCCTAAGTTTGCAGAGAGAAGCTCCGGCCTTGTTATAGAACAGCCTGTTGTAAAATGAAATGACCTAGGCTGTTGGAGGCTTCTTAAGCGTCTGAGAAAATAGCTCACTTGAATGACTGATCCTTGATCTACTGAGAAAGTTGCTGACAGTCTGTTCTCATTCTCCTAGACTTATAACTTTATATTTCTTTATTTCTACATTCTCATTTCTGGAATCTACATTTTTATTTTCTTATTCTTGGACTCCTCAATATCAGACAGAGACTCCCAGATCCTGGCAGTGACCTGACCCAAAGTCTCCAAAGAAGATTATGGGACACCATGATGTCTCCACCGGGATAATGATGATGCTGACCTGTGGGCAAGAAACCCCAATGCTACAACCTGCTGCCAGGACCCAGTCCAGACTGTGGACACCGGAGAATTGATTGCACCACCTTTGCTAGACAAAATAAGGTCAGTGTTTTTCTTGCCCCTCGTCCACAGGAACCTCTTACCTATGGGCCTGGTAAAGCCTGCTGTTCTGATACGTCTGCCTCCAATGTTATGCAGACATGGTTATGACTGTATATGGGCTGGTCCCTGTCATTTTTAATAGATCCAAAAGCTGTTTGGTCTGTACTTAAATATAATTTATTTTTCTTCTGGAGATCTCTGACAGCATTGATGGCTAGGCTAGCTGTAGCTTAGTTAACTTGACAGCTTCAGAAATATTTAAGATATAGTTCTGGGCCAGGTTGTAGTGGCACACACCTTTAATCCCAGCACTTGGGAGGCAGAGGCAGGCTGATCTCTGTGAGTTTGAGGCCATCGAGGCCAGCCTGGTCTATAAGAGCTAGTTCCAGAGAAACCCTGTCTCGGGGAAAAATAAAATAAAGATATCGTTCTGATAGGCTGAAAGAGCAATGACTGCTCACTGTTTGGGTCACAAGCTCAGGATTTTAAATTTCTTTTGGTTATCTTCTAAATATAAGTTTATACACTTTTAACCCAAATCTGTGTTTTTTGCTAGGACCCAAAGGTATGAGTCTATTTCTGCTGTTTTATAGATATCTGTTGTTTGTTTTTTCTATAATATGAATTTAATGTGGGCCTGAATTTCAAATGTATTATCTTCCTTTAAGTATATAAATTCTTATTTATTTTTTTAATTTTTTTTCGTTCTTCCTTTCTTGATAAGTATATAAATTTTAACTTCTGTTCCTAGTTTGAATTTGTCAACAGGTTTCCACTTGGCTGGCAGACACAATCAAGCATCAGTTGCTGGCTACAATCTGTTCCAAATGACTGTGGACCCTGGATTTGCTGAAAACTGCAATGGACCAGTCTACCTGATGTGAATGCTCCCTGGTTCTTAAACAGAGTCCACAAACCAGATGCTCCTGATAAATACCCCACTGCCTGAATTTCCTCTTTGATTTTGGCTAGCATTTCATCTTTGTTAGCTCTTGACAACAATGTCCCAAGTCAGCTGGAAGCAGTTAAAAGAATACATTGTCTTGTAATCCCTAGTTGAGATGCTAAGTCAAAAGGGAAGACTCTGCAGTTTTAGGAAAGAAATTCTATTTTTACACTAACCATTCAGGAATTCTAAGAGACAATTTGGCCAAAGTTAGGAAAGGATTGGCCAAGCAAAAAGAAAAAAGAAAAAAGATTCTTCACAAGGATGGCTTGAATCCTGGTTTAATAGTTCTCCTTGTTTAACTACCATTATTTCTGCTGTTATAGGACTTTTACTGGTTTTGCTAATTACTTTGACTGTCGGCCCATGTATAATCAACAGGCTGGTACAGTTTGTAAAACAAAGGTTTAATCCCATTCCATTTATGGTTCAATGCTAATGTATGTCCTTCTGCCTGCTGTTCCACCACCAGTGAAGATGAAATAGAATTTGGAAGTTATTCTCATCAGGTTGAGGAACCTAGGGTTCAGGATTGAACTCCACTTAGAACTCCCAGTGGGGAATGAAAGGCCAGAAGAGATTCTATTTCTGTACCAAGCCCTTTGGGGACCTTGATACCTCAGCCCCCAGGATAAGCTGGAGGTCATAGGAGCCCTCTTTAGGGAAAAGTATTAGCTAACAGAGAAACCCAAGCTACACAAAGTTGCTGACTGCAGCCCATTCCCCCACCCAGCTTCCCCTATCAGCTGGGTGATATCAGCTGGGCAATATTTCAAGCAGCCCCTGTGGTTAGCACAGGGTCAGCAGATGTCTGGAGGTAACCAGGGGCTGTTGTATCTAAGTATCCCCCTTAGATACTAACAGCCTATTAGGAACCAACAGCTGAGCTTTACCTCACCTTTAGCCAATTGTGATATAGGATCCGTAATTTTGTATTTTGAGACTGTAACCTTGTGACTGCTTTGTGGTTTTTGTCTTTATAAACCCCTTACAAAAATAGACGGGGTCCTTCTCCCTCCATCTGCTATGTCAGAGACTGTGAGGCAGAGGACCAGTGTTAGCCTGTACTTAATAAAGGAAACCTTGCTTTTGCATTCGGAAGTGTGGCTCTGTGGTGGTCTTCTTGGGGGTCCTGGGACTCAGGCACAACAGTGTCACCGTGGAGGCACGGTTTGAGGTCTCATGTATGCTGAAGCTATGCCCAACGGCCCAATGTGGAACATCTCTCTCTGCTGCCTGTGTGTCCAGATGTAGAACTCTCAGTTCCTTCTCCAGCACCACGTCTGCCTGTGTGCCACCCATCATGATAACGGACTAAACCTCTGAAACTGTAAGCAAGCCTCCATTAAATGTTTTCTTTATAAGAGCTGCTGTGGTCATGGAGTAGAAGAAGTAGAAGCAGTAGAAGCTCTAGTTAAAACAACTGCTTTCAGGGATTCTCAGTCCACACATCAGGTTGATCTCCGCTGCCTGTAACTTCAACTGCAGTGATCTGACGCTGCTTCTGGCCTCTTTGGGCACTACACTCATGCACAAACTGTATGCATGCATACATATACACATAATTAAAAATAAAAGAAACAAAAGCCCAACATTATTCAGTCACTTAGCACCTTGTCTGAGCTTTAGACCTGGGGAATAAGTAAGTACAGACATGTTGTTAACACATCATGAATAGCACACATTTTTGTGAAAAAAGTTAATATAACATTTAAACAATAATTGTATGTGCATTATTGTGATTATGATAATTTGACATTAGGTTTCATAAAATTAATAATATATTTAAAGCAAGGGTTAACATGGCTACCTGAATGAACACTACATGATGCCTCAACTCCATGTATTCCAGTAACAGTATGACAAGATGGAATTTATTTTCTGAAAATAAATAACTTTAGCATCTCCTCCCCTACAAGGCCATCTATTTTAATGCAAGAATTTGTGTCTCCCCAATATTTGCTAGAATCTTCATCTAGTTAAGTTTTAACTAAAGACCTAGAGTTCACAAGTAAAGAGTTAGCTAGCTAGAGTGCCTTCTAAATAATTACTTAAGGAATTCACTTAAGAAAAGAAGATCACTGTGTGATAAAAGACATCAAGATTATAGTGGAGATCAAATATTACTAAATTGAATGTCCCCGCAATTACACAAATGGTGGGTCATACTTTATCCTTTCTCAGGGGATGTGTAGGCCAATGAACATCTCACTTTGATATTCAAATCAGATCTCTATGAGAATTAATTTTTGAGGATACTTACCTTGAGATACTTTGTTATCTAGCAAAACAAAACAAACAAACAAACAAACAAAACCAAACACACTATGGCGGTTTGAATAGGAATGCCCCATGGACTCCTGTGTTTGAATGCTTGGCCCATCAGGAGTGGCACTTGTTGGAGTGAATGTGACCTTGCTGGAGGAAGTATGTCACCATGGGGTGGGCTTTGAGGTTTCAGAAGCTCAAGTCAGCTCTGTCCCTGCTGCCTGAGGATCACAATGTATAGTTCTCAGCTCCTTCTCTAGTACCATGTCTGCCTGCACGCTGCCATGTTTTCCACCCTGTCAACAATGAACTAAACATCTGAACGGTAGGCCAGTCCCAATTAAATGTTTTCCTTTATAGGAGTTGCCACAGTTACCGTGGTTTTCACAGCAACGGAAACGCTAAGACATACACATGGCAGCGCTGTGTAAGGAGAAACAGCACTTAGCAGGCATAGGTGAGGAGGAATTTATTCTCTCTGCATGAGATACACTCAGCTCACGGGGAGCACATTCACTTTGCACACATACCTAGGGTGTTCCTCGGTGGATTTCCTGGCATTTTCAGGCGATGTCATGGACGTTCAAACATTTGAGAAGAGTGCGAAACTGATCGTTTTCTTGAACATTGTGGCATTCGTGACTTCCGGGAGAAAGGCTATCAGGAGTTCCGATGTTAGGAATGTGGATTGTCCCTGAAGTTTAGTAGGAGTGTGTCCTTCTAGAGTTCATAGCAAATTAGTGGAAATCAAAACAGTACTATACTTCACAATCTTTTATATATATATAGCCTTACAGCTTTATTCTCTTCAGCAACAAACATTTAAGCACCAGAATAAACAAGTGGCCCCTAAGCACCTGAAGACCAAGTCAGGCAAAAAATATTAGGCCCCGCATTGAAGTAGCCGTTACTATTTCTGGAATCTCTTCCATAGGATTGAACTGCTTGTACTGCTTAGGAGGGAGCCGGACATGAGGTCAAACCTGAGCACCTTTTCCCAGCCAGGCTTAACGAGAAACTGGGGGCCCAAAGCGCTGTATGGTGTTCACCACTAGGGAAAGCTGGTCCAGAAAGTTCATGATGGAAATCCGGAGGAGGCGAGAATCTTCCGAGACCCAGTGTGCTTCCAGCACGCAGCCGCTCACGTTAAGCTCCTTCCCCAACAGTTCTTGGTGCGGTTCGGCATCAGGAGCTAGGGACCCACAGGCGATTTCTGTCTCCAAAGAGGTCGGGAAAGGCACTGTAAGGGCGAATCTGTGATGTCGGATTGCCGGCCTTTGGGTTAAAGGCATGGTGCTTTTGCTCGAGCGGGAGACTTCCGGTGCTCGTGCAACAGCGTGAGCTCCACTGGGAATAACTGCCACTGTGCCTGCATCGCGGGACAGCAG